TTCGATGCTCTACCATTTCCTGAATAAAATCCTTGTGCTGAAGTGCCGGGATGTCCCTGTTGATTGTTTTTAAAAGGTTTTCTCGATTTTTGTTGATAAAAATTTAATGGTTCGGATTTAACAACCACTCCCAAATTTTCTCTTGCCATATGATCACGAAATGCCGATTCTTTGGAAAGGGCAATTTTCACCATTTGCTGAAAAGTAGCCCGTGACGCATCTTCTTCCACGAGTCTGTCCAGAATTTTTTCATCATTTATGCCAATGACAAACACATCACGCATCACCGTACTAAGTTCCAATTGAAAGCCGCAATTGGATGCTAAATTTTTTACCTTGGCTTCCCATTCGGCAACACTTTCATTCAACATCCTTTTTGCGTTATAAAACTTAATACGTTCGGCAAATAACGATTTGACCGGACTAAAATGGTCTTGTAGCAATTTCACTAAGTTACCATAATCCACTTGTTCTGGCAAATTTGGGACACACAAACTTCGCACCAGAATGTAACAATCCTCTGTTAAAGTATTTAATAAAATAGCTCTTTTCCGTTCATTGTCTGTTATTTTATTAGCAATAAAATATTGTTTTAAACGCTCACTAAATACGGAAAAACTGGATATTTTTGGATCGAATATAGTCAAAGATCCTAATAGTCCAATGTATTGAGTTATTTCTGCTTCGGTATCCGTCATTTTGGTATTTTTATAATTGTATAATATATAAAAAAAATTCTGCTACTTAGGTACTTCTCACTGCCCCAAAACTGCACTATACGTATACACGTGAGTTACTAAGTTCACAACTCGTCGCCAATGTTGAGTTTGCTATTAATTTGAATAGGAAACTCAAATATAAATAAAAGACACAAATCTACGTGAAATTCTATTTTTTACTGAAAACCCAAAACCCACCTGCAAGAATGCAAGTCGTCGAACAACCCAGGACCACTTTAATATAAACAACTTTTTATGGTTTTGTGTGTATGTTGACATGCAGTAATTGTTTATATTAATCATCAAATATAATATAATATTTAAATATATACATACATAACACCTAGCAATCCCTTAGTTTTTTTTGACTTTCTCAAAAACTAGAGGAGCACCTAATTTTTAATAAGATGCCCTAATTAGCACCTAAAAAGCACCTAATTATTATATAGATCCCGAAGTTTTTTTGCCATTCTGACACACCAACAAATAAACGTAAAGCCAGCAGTCCCCTAATAATTAAAAAAAAAATCTGTAACTCAGTTAATAATTAATCAATTCTATTTTTTCTTCGACTATTTAGGAGCACCTAAAAAGCACCTCATTCTGATATAAAGAAAAAATTTGAAAAAATATTTTTTACTATAGGGGACTGCTAGCTTATATAAACCTAGCAGTCCCTTAGTTTTTTTTGATTTTCTCAAAAACTAAAGGAGCACCTAATTTTTAATTAGAGGCCCTAAATTAGCACCTAAAAAGCACCTAATTATTATATAGTTCTCGATGTTTTTTTCCACCTTGAGACTGCTAGGTTTATAGACCTATTCACAAAATAGGCCAAGCAATGAAGGAAGTTGACTTCAACCTAATTAAAAGTTAAAAGTTAACATTTTTTGGAAGGGATCGGTCCATTTTCATGTGCTAAATGCTAAATAACATATTAAGTTTGCGACCTTGTACTTCCATAGGGTTTTTAGTTAGAGGTGGTTCTTAGGGGTATTGTGCGGTTTATGGAGAACGCTGTTCAAAGGGATGATCCGATAACAAAAAGTTTCAAATGATTGCTGTAGCTGAAGTTTTTAGCTATAAGAAACTCAGCGACAGTACCCCTCTATCTTCTATAGTTTTTTTTCTGCAGTGTCTTGAATAGTAGCATGTTTTTGTTCAAGTCACTGAATCAACGTTCCGCCTGTTTGCGCGTATTTGATGCAGCAGCGGCCGAATGCATAATCCAATTTCAATTTTTCAAATACCATATTATTGGTAAGAAATGCACTCTCCAATGCCTTTTTGTTCGAATTTTTTGCTGCGGACTTGCCTAATGTACGAGGAAGTTGTAGATTGCATCGAAAACAACCCCTTTCTTGCATTCACTGTAATTTCTTAACGGGGCCAAATATTTGGCGACAGTTTTCGACAATCGGCAGCCCATTTAAGCCTAGTACTCATAACTGCGAAATTCGCATTTTTTTGACATTGCGTTGACAATTTGACGTTTTATGCGTGTATCAAACGTCAAATTGTCAACGCAATGTCAAAAAAATGCGAATTTCGCAGTTATGAGTACTAGGCTTTATTCCTCTTATAATGACCCAGCGGATTTTTTTTTTCGTTAATTACTCATTGACTTATTGGCCTGAACACGTCGCGCGGAATTTTTCAAAAAGTCAAAAAAAAATTAAAATTGTCGCACAGCGCTGAAATTTGGTACGATGGCTTTATTTATTGTTCTCATGAATAAACTGCAATTCTAATTTGTTACGTGTGAAGCAATTAAAATTGCAGTATATTCATAAGAACAATAAATAAAGCCATTTTGCTACAATCCATGAAGCCCTTACAAAGTACAGACAAATCATTTTTCTCCGTTAAAAACCTATGTTTTGTCTCTGCAGGAATGGCAAGAAACGAGACTTTCTCGCGATTAGAACGGCTTCCACAACTAAGTAAAATACATAACGTATGCATTTTCCAAAAAATCAACACTTTACAGACTTTATACCAATCAAAAATCGCAATAAAACGGCATTTTTTTTAAATAAAAAGGCATTGGTCTCCATTTTGAATTCCATTTTGACAGGTCGTTGGATTGCCCTATAGGTCGTTGGATTGCCCTATAGGGCAATCCAACGACTTGTCAAAATGGAATTCAAAATGGAGGCCAATGCCTTTTTTCTACTAATAATTTCTTAAACTAAAAACTTTCCATCTTAGAATACGAAAATTATCCTCTCAAACACTATAAAATCATCTAAAAGCACCACAAAATACACAAAAAACAGTTTTTTGATGAAAAATGTCACGATTGCTTGAATTAAATTTATGGCGCCAATTTTTTGGCATTGGCCATGCATTGACCACCATTTTGTTTGGATTGCCCTATTTTATAAACTAAAAAATAGGGTTCTGATGTTATGCCCAGGTTTTTTACTAAAGTTTGCGAAGTTTTATAGGAGAAACTTGATATAATTAATATCGCAAGAGTTTTATAACAAACCTAGACCATTACTACAATTTACCAGTTTTCATAAGGGTGATTTATCACACTTCTATATAACTACGGGTATTTCAGTTAAATAGATAAGGTGATAGGCAAATCTTATGTAAACTTGTTATAAACACATTGGTAACGGGCTACTAAAAGTTTTATAAAATGGTGATGGAAACAGTTATTATCACCTTATTATATACCTACTTTGTAACTTACAGTAATGATATAAATACATCACCAAAAGGTACGGATTATAAAACTACGAAACTTTTATTACCTTTATATAACCAGTATAAAACTTGATGTTACTATAATTTTCGAAAAATGTTTATTGGGGAAGTTCTTGCTAAAATCCTAGGACCAATAGAACTGGTTCAGAAACGGTTCCGAACGAATATTAAAAGTTCGGAGTTTTGTGATCTGCGAACGCCATTACTTGAACTGCGCTTGCGAAATAGTTTCGAAGCAGTTCAGAATCCTTAGCGCGAACGAAGCTATTGTAAAAGTAAAAGGCAAAAGCTGTTTACGGAAACTATGGTCGGGTTAACCCGATCCAGCAGACGTATTTTGTCTTTTTTTAATCGTATTCATTAAGGAAAGATAGAAAACATTCAGCTGCTGATCGGGTTAACCCGATTATAGTTTCCGTAAACGACTAATGGCGGGTATTATAAAACTACTTTGACAGTTAACTTAAAGTTAACTCCTTCCTCCTCATTAATTCCCGAAGCTAACTTCAAGTTAACTGTCAAAGTAGTTTTATAATACCCACCCTAAATAGAAAAGAGACGAAAGAGATAATACATGCAGCATGCAGAGGGCGCCCACGTCGCCCACAGTGCTCTTGGTCAGTTTGGTCGGATCAAAGCTCGACTCGAAGCTAATCTCTGGCTAACGAATGTTGAGCGCTACGTCATCAATACTTGAATTTATCACAGACATTGCAATTTGCTGCTGCCTTTTGCACGCGCACTGTGTTTGACATACCTAATTTATATGATTACCATAAGATTACCTGATTACCATCGATATTCGTATTTTTGATGGTTGACAGAAAGATGTAACACAAGCAAAATAAATGTCCGTGCTACGACAAATGACGCGTAAAACCGTTGGATTTTTTTGGACTGTAAAATATGGATTTGAATATTCGTTTGCTTCTAAAATTTTTCTAAATAAGAAAACATTCAAGAGATTGGAATAGAACCAAAATACTTCAAGTCTACTTATCAATTTTTTCTTGAATTTCCTTTCGCCATTTCTCAAGTTTTCCAGCTCAATTTTTGTCTATTCTCGACTTTTGAATTTGTCGAAATAAAGAAAATTCAAGAGGCATCTGAGATGATAGTTTTAAGTTTAATAAGTGGTTTTGGTTTTGCAATACTTATCGATACATATGATAAATTTGTATCCATCATCGAGGGCGTATCGATTTATATATCGATAAGCACTTCTCCAGTCAACACATGTCAAACAGAACATCGTCATCAACATAACCTCACTAATTTTTGTTTACTTTTTCACTGTTTAAAGATTTTTTCATTATTTCAAAATTTAATTAAATCGAATCGGAAATGGAAGACCAACAAGTGCATCGGCTCGGATTTCAATGTAATACGTTAGGAGTGCTTATTCTTATCTCTAACAGTATGTCGTAGTCGTATTAAGTACTTAATAAAAATTACATAAACATAAGTGCAGACTACAACCACCTGAAAGAATTGATTTTTTTATATAGGTACTTATTACAAGCACCTTGCTTGGATTAGATAAGAAATTCAATTAGTAATATAATGATTTTTGGTAGAACGTTTATTATTTTTATATATTTTCTATTTGTTTTATTTTTTGGGCTCATCTTGAGATTCAGTCATATATTTAGTGATTTTTGTGAAACATTTCACCCTCCAGACAATAAGCAAACATATGACTACATTATAGGTAAGTAAAGTATTACCTTAGCAAGCCTATTCGTAATACAAATTGTTATTACAGTTGGTGGTGGATCAGCAGGATCCATCCTAGCCAACAAACTCTCACGCAATGGCATCGATAAAGTCCTAGTCCTAGAAGCTGGTAAAAACACCATTGACCTTCTTAGTATTCCATCCATAAGCCTGCTGCTACAAAACTCCCCATACGATTGGAAATATGCTACAGTACCACAAAAAAACTCTTGTTTAGGCCTCAATCAAAATGTGAGCTTATGGCCGATGGGCAAATTACTAGGGGGCACTAGCATGCTGAACAATATGTTGTATGTGAGAGGCCACAAGGAGGATTTCAATGAATGGTTTAAAGATAAAGAGGATTATTATTATTCAGATGTGATTAATTATTTTAAGCAAATAGAAGATTTGTTAGATGTTAGTGATCTTGCATTTTCTACTGAACTATCTGATATTGTGTTTAATGCAGCTGAAAATTTAGGATATTCTATTTTGCATTGCAATTATGACAGCAAACTTGGTAATAACAAATTATTAAAACTAACTATTTATTTGAAAAATCTTTTAGGCTTTAATAAACCCAAAGCCACCTTAAATAAAGGCAAAAGATGGACCTCTGCTGACAGCTTGAAACAACTTCATAGAAATAATTTAGTGATTAGGACAAGTTGTTTGGTTGAAAAAGTATGTAAGTGAATGCTTTTTCAAACTATTATTAATGTTGCATTAATAACTTTAGATTTTATTCAGATCCAATTTTGAAGCCTATGGTGTAAAATTCAAATTCCTGAACAAAAATTATGAAGCATTTGCACAAAAAGCTGTTATACTATCTGCAGGAGTTATTGGTAGCCCCAAAATTTTGATGTTATCTGGAATTGGTGAAAAAACTCACTTGGAAAAGCTTGGCATAGAACCTATAGTAGATTTACCTGTTGGTAATAATTTGCAGGACCATTTAACTACAGGTCTTGATTTAGTTTTGCTCGATCATTCTTTGAATATAGGAATAGAGCAGATGTTATCGCCGTTTGCACTGCTGGAATATTTTTTGAAGGGATCTGGGCCATTGACCACTACAGGGTAAATCCAAAACATATCTTTGTTTTAATTATTCTTAAAATATACACACACTGGCAAAACAGTGGCGGTTCGCCCATATGGGCAAGGTGGGCACCGTCATCTTGGAGAAAGAATGGAAAAAAAAATTAATACAATATTTAAAAAGACCGCGACCTTGAAAATCTAAAAAAAATTGTCTACGCCTGTTTTTTATTTTTGTCGCCCACCATTACTTAGACACCACGAGCTGCCACTGCAAATGGCTTAACACGATTTTATCTCAGGAACTATAAGTCTAAATGAGTTGAAATTTTCGGGGATTGTAGTCCTACTGGAATAAGAATTGCTGAAAATTTCAGCTTTCTCTCTATGATAGAAAAAGAGTTATGACCTTCCAAAGTTTTCCAAAATCTAAATCATAAGGTAGCTTCTTACTAAAATGATGAAATTTCAATTTTTTTTTTTGTTGAGATTTGGTGTCTTGGTGGTCATTTGATATCCTCCGAACTCCATACACTAAGTTATTCCCAGATTTGAAGCTGAAATTTATAAAAAAAGGCACTCAGAAAAATTGATAAATTACCCCAAATTGCTTAACAGGATTCTATCTCAGGAACTATAAGTCTAAATGAGTTGAAATTTTCAGGGATGGTAGTCCTCTACTGGAATAAGAATCGCTGAAAACTTCAGCTTTCTATCTATAAAAGAAAAAAAGTTATGACCTTCCAAAGTTTTCCAAAATCTAAATCATAAACCTTCTTACTAAAACGATGAAATTTCATTTTTTTTTTGTTGAGATTTTGTATGGTCACTTGGGATCCCCAGATCTCCATACACTGAGTTATTCCCAGATTTGAAGCCGAAATCTATGAAAAAAGGCACTCAGATAAATTGAAAAATTGATAAATCACCCCAAATTGCTTAACACGTTTCTATCTCAGGAACTATAAGCCTAAATGAGTTGAAATTTTCAGGAATTGTAGTCCTATACTGGAATAAGAATCGCTGAAAATATCAGCTTTCTATCTGTAATAGAAAAAAAAAGTTGCACGACTTGAAGTTGGAAAACGACACATTTTCATTTCCAATTTGTATGTCGACGTGGAGAAAATTAAGGTCAATATCCACCTTTTCTTCGAAACTCTGTATTTTCAATAATATTGAAAATATCAGAGTGACTAAAAAATGAAAATGTTTGGAAAAGATCAGGCTACAATTTCGTGTTGAAAACTGTTCTGAATTTCCAGTGGTTCACTCCACAAAGTGGCTCAAAAAACTCTGAAAAATACTGACTTTCTTTTCATCCCTCTGTATATGATATGAATACGAATCATTTAATAACGGTAATATGTCAGATGCTACAACCTGTGAAAAATTCATCGAAATCAAGACAAAATTGATGTCGTACTAGTGTAAATTTTGTCTGTTCCCCTAATTTGCCGGTGTGTGTGTAGTTCTTGTGTTCTTGGAAAATAAGTTTGTCTAGTATCTTCAGACCTATTTTCTATTCCACTTTTCAGACTTGTAACTTAAATATCTATTCCAGATGTGAAGTGATGGCTTTTTTAAACACAACAAAAACTCATACCAAGCCTGATATTCAGTTCATGATTATGCCTTTAGGAATCAAAGAAGACAATGGATATTATTTAAGAACTCTGATGGGTAAATAATTTTCTTATACCTAATTTATAAGTTTGTATAAATTTCAATTGTCACTTTCTTAGGAATCTCCGATAATGTATGGTCAAATTACTTTGCCAAAATTCCTCATAAAAGTTTGACAATATTGCCAGTACTCTTGCATCCAAAAAGTAGAGGCACAGTACGACTTGCGAGTAAAAATCCCTTGGACCAACCCTTAATAGATCCTCAATATTTGAGTGATCCTAGAGATGTTGCTGTACTTATTGAAGGCATTGAGCTTATTAAAAAATTAATTAGTACAAAAGAATTTAAATCATTTGGAGCTGAATTTAATCAAGTTATTTTTCCTGGTGAGAGGATTCTTTTCAAATATGTAATTTTGATATTCATGGCATTTCTATGTAGGCTGTTCAAATTATATATTCGATACCAAAGATTATTGGGAGTGCTACATTAGACATTTAACAATAACTGCCTATCATCCCATTGGAACCTGTAGAATGGGCAAAACTGAAGATCCAACAACAGTGGTGGATTTTAATTTTCAGGTTGAACACACATATTTGTAAGGTGTTTTTTATAATAATAATAATAATTATTTTTTAAGGTGAAAGGTACCAATAAATTGTATGTTGTTGATGGGTCTGTTATACCATCGTTGACCAGTGGAAATATTAATGGACCTATTTTAATGCTTGCTGGAATGGCAGCAGATGCTCTTAGTAAAATTAATTATTTAAGTACGAAAACATGTGATTTTATGGATGTTTTTCTAAGAGAAAATATCTGTTGTGTTTAAATATGCTGTGATTTTGTTGTTATTTCAGTTAGTTGGCAATTCCTTTGTGAATTTGTACAATTTGTAGCCATTTGGAAATCATATCCTTGTTTGTCTCAGCTTCAGTTGCTGATTTGTCGTTCTACGGCAGATTGTTATATCAGTAATGTTTTTATGTAGTAGTGTAACTTTTTTATACAATTTCCATGGGTTTGTAGGGCGAGCAAAAGTTTTTTCTTGTCATCCTTTGACCATTCGCAGAGTTTTTTAGTTAGAAAAGAAAATTGCTAATAAGAGTGTCAACTACTAGGTAAATACCACTCTGTACATCAATTTTATTAAAGTGTGTCGACGAATCAGCATCAGGTTGGTATAAATACTAGGCCGAGATTCATTACCGACATACTAAGGCTAGTGCGAAGTCACTCAATTGGAAAAAGCCCTTCTATACAAGCTAAGTCTCCTCCCAGTGCAAACCAGCTTTGATGGGAAACGCCCCTCTGAGAGTATTGAATGCAGCAGACTACGTCCAGTGCAAACTACCTTTATTGGGAAGCGCCCTTCTGCTCCTGTCTCAAAACTTCGCCCCCAGGTCACGCTCTGTTGTGACGTCCTAGGACAAAACATAATAGGGGTTTCGACAAGAGTTCAATTAACTCGCAAATACAACCTGTAGTCAAGGACAATCATTTCATTGTAGTATCATCAAAGGAAAAAGCAGATCACTTTGCCAAACAATTTGCATCCAATTCCACTATGGAGGACAAATTGCAGAGCGCCACAGGTACTGCCACACATTGGTTCTCACATGGACAACGTTGTATTTAGAAGAAAATATTAGGAAAATTCTTCTGCAACTTGACACTGGGAAAAACTGGTCAAAAACCTTGAAGGCAATAAGCTCATCTCTGACAAACAGTACGGGTTTTGTTCTAAAAGATCAACAGGGGATCTGCTGGCGTACGTCAGTCGTATTTGGGATTTGACTCTTGAAAAACATAGCGAATCCACAATTGTAGCATTGGACATTTCCAAGGATTTTAATCAGGTGTGGCACACTCAGCAAACATCCAACTTATGGTCTTCTGAACAAACTTTACCATTGGCTGGGGAGTTTTTTGGAAGGCAGATCACTACATGTTGCGGTCGATGGTGTTTTCTGATACACTGTCTATAAGTACGGGCGTTCGCCAGACTCAATTCTGTCCCCAACACTATTTGTGAAGACAAACCCCATTATACAGGTTTGTAAACAATAGTAGTTTGCTTGATGGCATCTTTTTCTTCTGACAAACCGCTTACTGCAGCCACTTCTACATGCTTCGCTCGAGAACAGATTCACTCTATTATCAACAGTGACCTTGACACCATTATCAACTGGGGCCTTAAAAACCTAGTCAAATTCAATGCTTCCAAAACTCAAACAACAGAATTCTCAAATAAGAAATCTTCTGGCGATGATAACGCAGTTTTAATGATGCCAGGACAAAACCTTTCCATCCATCCCTTAGTATCTCTTCCTGGTATGACCGCATCGACCAACTTTTCTTGGCATAACCATGTATCTTCTATCGCCAAAACTGCTCCATGGTTCTCCAATCAATGGTTTTGGGGATTCACAAAAATATTTTCATATTATTTGAAGATTACAAACAGTTGGTACCTGTAACTTCTTCTTACTCTGATTGTGATCTGCAGCAACAGGATAATAAGGAAATTATTCAAATCAAACAAACAAAAAAAAAATAAAAATTATATTAAATCATTCTATAATTATTTAAAACATTTTCCATAATCTGAAAAGAATTCAAAAGATACTCTTCATCGAGCCCATACTTGCTATAATGATGAAGATACGCTCTATGAGTAAACAAGGTCCAAGCGTCATCCACAATCGCATTTAAAGGCGTTAAAATATTATTATCATTAAAAAGCACAGATAAATGGTTGGGGTAATAACAAAAGCGTTCTGGCACTGAATAAACTCGAACACTTTCTTCTTGTGGTAACCATTTTACCAAGTCTCTGGTTTCTTTAAATGATTTTAACTCATATTCTGGTACCTTTTCCAGTCCGCGATGGATTAGTGCTTTTGATATCACTTTGAAATGTGAATATTTATTGGTTTGAGCATGATCGAAACGAGATTGTCTCAATAAATTATTCATTAAAGCGGTACATTGCTGAGGAGTTTCAAATGCAGAGTTTTGGTTTGAAATATTTGGTTCTGTTTTGATTTGTAGAAATTTGAACTGAGGGTGCGAAATAAGATTTTGTAATAATGATGAAGTAGTTACGGTACCTAAAGGTTGAAAAATTGAAGCTACTTGCTGAGAAATGATAGAATTAATATTTGAATAGTTTACAGCGTTGAGATTTAATGAGTATTTACTTAAATGCAATAATCTTTCGTTTTCAAATAGTACAGTACAATCCCCTATTGAATATAATGTGGATAAATTTAATAAACAATTATAAGCTTGTGTAGATATTTCTCCCTTCACATAAGGAAGAACTGCACAATTAACAATAGTATTTTTTGGATATTCGTTGCGCAGTTTTTCAATGACATAACTTCCAACTCCAGAACCAGTCCCTCCACTCAGACTGTAGAAATTCAAAAATGAAGTTACAAAATCGCAGTTCTCCAGCTCTTTGCGTACCAAATTTAACACTTGCCCAACCACTAATCTACTGTTTTCCACATAACCGTAGGCCCAATTATTTGCCGAACCACCAACAGGGTTTACAATAATATTTTCGAACCATGATTTTTTTATATCTTTTATAACTTTCGATTCAGTATCGACAAGTATAGAGCGAGCTTTCCAGCGTCCCTTGGAGTCTACATTGAACCATTTAGCCAGAGACTGGCAATAATGTTGCGAGTTGGTCGTTTTTAATGTGATATCTTCTTCTAGAGTTGTGTAGAGTGTTTGGCCTATTTGGTTGCCGCATTGGCCAAAATTTAAAGTGATAACACTCATACTCTGAGGTGTGATTACTGAAATAAATAAGATTTGAGGATAGGTACTTTTGTTGCTGTGAAACAAAGAGGCCTATACAATCTATTTATAGATTTTGTATCAAAGTTCTTTTTTTAAACCGTTGAATCCAACTGCAAACATTTTGAAAAGTTATAGGTTAGGTTTAGTTGTTGTTCGTTGTCGTCACCCACCGACAAATGTTTAAAATCAAATCAAGTAGCAATGAAGGAAGGATAATACACACTACTACTACAGTATAGTTTATTCTCATAATTATTAATAAGGCCTGTGTAGATTAAATCTCAAGCCACCCTCCAAGCCAGTGATGACGTAGGCAACGTGTCGTTTCTCGCCTTGAAGTAGAGTGTTTGAACCATAGGTTATGATTCCGCGGGTTTTTGCTTTATGCATACTTGGTTTTAGCGTTGGGTGTTAGTATATTAATTACCATTCTGAGGCCTTATTCTTGACTTTCTCTCGAGAGAAAATTTGACTGTGTTGACAATTAAACAGTGCATTAACTGTTAACAATGTCAAATTTTCTACTTAGGTAAAGTGAAGAATAATGCCTCTGAAAAGATTTTTCAGATCTCGTTTGCATCTTCCACTTTGCCTATTATGTTACCCAAAATTAAATACTATTTTCCATCATAAACGTATATTCTAAATTACGACTGCTGGCGCAAATAGCTGACGACGTAGTTGATGACGTCGTCAATGGTGCTCACAATATGGCCGCGATTCCCAAAAACGAGGCCGATAAGCAATACGTGTGGTAGTGTGTATTATCCTTGGAACACACCTACTATGCGGTTATGTTGAGTTGCCACCGACAAATGTTTAAAATCAAATCGAGTAGCAAAGGCCAAAGGCCCTTTTCATGATGAGTGTTGTCTTGTGATTGGTCGAAGACACCTACTAAGGGCGGGTATTATAAAACTTCTTTGAGAGTTAACTTAAAGTTAACTTCTGGAATAACATGTAATTCAAAAAGTTAACTTCAAGTTAACTGTCAAAGCAGTTTTATAATACCCGCCCTTAAGGGTATTTTGACTAGTTGCCACCGACAAAAAATTCAACATCAAAATTAAATCAAGTAGCCAAGGCCTCGTCATTCATCTAAAAAGAAAAATTCCAGTGTCGTTTGATGGTGTGTAGTGTCTTGTGATTGGTCGAACACACCTACTAGGGTATTTTGAGTACCTGCTACAGTGGCTAAATAAACCTTTACATACAGTGGCGACAATAGAGTTCCCGCCGCCATCTTGTTCCCAACCTCTTGTTACTTTCAAATATTAATATATAAGATTTAAATAGACATCTATCATAAAAAATTAAAATCGGCATATTTGATGACCATTATTAGGTTCATCAAATACGTTGTTTTCCATGTTTTATGATGGATGTTCACCTAAATCCTATATATTCATATTTAAAAGTAACAAGAGGTTGGGAACAAGATGGCGGCATTTTCAATATAAACATATGGGATTTTTGAACCAATCAAAAATGAGACCGCAATTGTCGCCACTGTGGTAATAAAGTCACTGTAGTACCTGCCACCGACAAAAAATTCAACATTAAAATTAGTCAAACGCCCCGTTAGGTATCTAAAAAGAAGAATAAAATACTCCAGTGTTGCCAACTGTCCGAAGTTGTTTGAAGGTGGGTGGTGTCTTGTGATTGGTGAACACACCCACCACCCGAATCTTAACCTTAAAAAGGTCATTTGATTTTGATTCCCTTAAAAAAATCTTTAGTTCAAAAATATAGTTATTTAATAGTTAATTGTACAGTTAATTTTTGCATAATCTCAGCAAATGCTGGTTTTCCTTTTCGGTGGAGAGGGAGAGAGTATGGTAAAGTAAAGATAACGTGAAGATAAGTCAAAATTTAAGAAAAAAATACTGAATCACGGTTTTTGGTAGAGCGATTTTTCTTTTTTTGCTTACCAAACAATTTTCTTTCTTTATTTCTTCATATTTGAGTAGTGGTTTGCTATGGAAAACCTATTTTGCTTTTCGAAAGCATCATGTCAAGAAATGGTGAGTAATAAATAAGAAGTTAATTTTGTCCCTCGTTTTGTCCTAATGTGGTAATTATTGTAGGTCTGTTTCTGCAGAAATCCGAAACCAGTCAGAGTGAATTTCATTGGTTGACAACAATCAGAAAACTAGTTTCAACCAATAAAATTCACTCTGAGTGGTTTGTGATTTCTGCAGAAACAGACTTCTTATCTTCTTCTTTAAAGTTAGTTTCCAATTGAGATAGTAATGCTGGCATCGCAAAATCTAGAAACTAATTTGCTTAAAACTACTCCCAAATGATCTAAAATTAGGTACCCAGTCTCAATCTACTAAGATTGAGCATAATCAGTATTTCTTATTGAGAGATGATTATGAATAATATTCGAGATAATATTGCATATTTTATAGTACCTAGTACATTTTGGATACCTACCATGATTCATTTAAAAGTGAGTCAATGAATGAGTCGCTGCTTCCTGTCTGCCAAAGTTTGTTTTAAAAAAAATATCAATTTTCAATTTACAAATAAGAAGTAGGGGCTTCCCAGCCAGCATATGGTAAGAGATAGTGGGTGCATACCTTATCAGCTTCACTGAAACTTTTATAAAAGGCAGAGTTGGGATGGTATTAATATGTAGAGGTACCTATATGATTTAATTTGTCATCACACTAAGCAGACATTATGTTTTCTCATTTTCTCTATTTTTTCCATCTCTATTTTATGTTTGTCTAATTATTGATTTATTCCTGGTTCTCGAATGGGGAGATTAAGTCATTTGTTGTATTAATTTTTTCCAATTCTAGAACACAAACTATAAGCATATATAAGTATATATCTGGGGAACATTTGAGTTGCCATTAATTTTTATTAAATTATACATATTCAGCAGCTTTCCAAACCCAGCAGTAAACCCGCCAAATATGACGTAATTCGCTACGACTAGCAATAACTGCAAATTAGTATGTTGTCATATTCTCACTACCATCGTTGATGTCCAAGATTACCTTCAGAAACCTGGTTTTTATCCTTGTTTATATAATGTTTTTTCTTGTATTTTTTGGACTACAGTTGTAAAAAATGTAATTTTTTAATTGTTCGTTCAAGTGTACTACAACAGTTTTTTTAGTGTTGAGAAATTATCTATGCTCCGACCTCATTTTAGTTTCAAAAAATCCCGACAGTCGGTTTGGCAACGTCGCATTGTCTAATAGTATGTGCTCTTAAATATCTGGTTTGTTTCAACATGTCAAGAACCATCCTATGAACAGTTTCGAAACCACTCTGTATACGAATTTCGGCTTATACAGTGTGATTTTTTAAGTGTGCAACATATGGGAATTTTTTTTAGTAATAGCACAACCCAAATACAAACAGGGCCAAAAGTTGGTGCATGTCTGATAATCATATTAGGTGCACTTAGAATGGTTGCAACTCAAACAGCATACAGGGTAGCTCAAACAATATCAAAGCTGTACTGTAAAGTACCCTTATTTTAGAAAATTCAGCAAAATGTTATAGAGAAAAGTTGTTTGGAATTAAAAGTTATGCCTAAGTACCAAAACATAGCCTCCTAAGATTTTTTTTATTTTTTTTTCGAAAAAATCTATAATTTCTATATTTTTTTTATTTTTTCTTTCTACCCTGTATTCTGTTTGACTTGCAACCATTCTAAGTGCACCTAATATAATTATTAGACATGCACCAACTTTCGGCCTTGTTTGTATTTTGATTGTGCTATTACTAAAAAAAATCCCATATGTTGCACACTTAAGTAATGACACTGTATACTTACAAATTTTTGGCTTTGTGCAGAATCGTGACGGTGGATTGTACGGTTTCTTGATGTGTTGTAATGGAGCTATGATTATAACCACTTAATTTCCCAGTTTGTATTAGTTTGTTCAAGAGCACTTATCCCTTATAGACTGTGAGATAGGGCCGGTTTAGTGGAGTCATTTTTTTTTGTCTGGCATTTTGAGGGCTGAATGTGGCTACTAAGCTGATGAGAATATGGGTGGTTTTAATGCCTGCCTCCCGTTCGAAAATTTGCAGAAGAAAAAAATTGATTTACATGAGGATTTTTTTTTTAATGATCTCAAATTTTTTGGCTTCTAAATAAAAGATTGACATTGATAAATAATTCACCCATAAAAAATACCAGATGCTTTTCAATGGCTGAAAAAGTGGGGATGAGTGTCATTTTCCAAGAGAAAAGAAAAGAACCTTCCGCGTTTACTTTTTGTTTGGTAATCGAGAGAATGAAAGGTTTTGTTGTGAAAATATCGCTGAAAAATCGCCAGACGGTAATCCCAGTTCGAAGTCGAGTTTTCTGGCGAAACATTTTGTGGACATTTCGAACAGGTGGCAAGCACTAAAACCACCTATATTCTCATCAGCTAACTAGCCACATTCATCCCTCAAAATGCCAGACAAAAAAAAATGACTCCACTAAACAGGCCCTATCTCACGGTCTATTAGAGCAGGTAAAACGCTGTCCTACAGACATAAGGAGTAGGAACGCGCCATTCTGCTATGAAACTAAGTGCGCGTTCACATTGACACCGCTCGAGCGGTGAGCGTTGCGCGATGCCGCTGTAGCGATGCCCAAAAATAAGTTTAACATTAGATTTCAAATAAACATGTTAACACCGCACGACACGCAGCCTCAGTGTGAACTTGTTCATTTGAAATATAATGTTGAAATTATTTTTTCCTACGACTGCCTCTGAAAATGGAGTTTTTCGCACGCTAGGCAACCTCTGAAATTAGAGTTTCTCACGCGCATTTTAGCGTGCGAAAAAGTTTTTCACACGCTCCTCAGCGTGCGAAAAAAAATTTCACACGCTTCAAGTTTTCTAACAAATGGAAATTACATATTTGGTTGTTTTATTTTGCAGATGTAGGAAAAGCATTGTAAAAAACTCGTTTGAAAAACTTTTTTCACACTTGCTCGACTTGTGGAACTCGCCTATGGCTCGGTCCAACAAATTGTCTCACCGTGCGAAAAAAGTCGTTTTCAAAACTTGTTGTTTAAATAACTATTGGGCATCACTACAGCGGCATCGCGCAACGCTCACCGCTCGAGCGGTGTCAATGTGAACGCGCACTAAGGGCTAGTTTCTCAATAGCGAGTCACCCCCAAGTTGGTTTCAACTCCAGGGTTAACATGTCGAATTGCAATGTTTACCCTGGAGTTAGCTTAACCCGGAGGTGACCTGCTATTGAGAAACCGGCCCTAAAGTGAAGCCAAGTTTTTGGCAGGTGTTTGATGTGTTGATCCCAGACGACTTTGCATAACGCATAGCATGGCGCATAACCATACGTAATGGTCAAGGTAATGGTCTATTAAAAAACGGACAAAACACACAAAACCTAAACCATAAGGTGTTCGACCAATCAAATTAAGGGAATCCTGTCATACGTCAACATTTATTTTGTAGGTTGGTTATGAGATGAATTTGTTTTTGTTTGTTGCATCGTGTTTATTTGACTGCAAATTTTGATTTCACTGTGAATTAGGCACTTGAGGTTTGTCCGAGGGGTTTGTTTGGTTTAAGTCAAAAATCACGTCACTTGCAGCGACGTATTTTGATTGGCCATTGGCCTCGCATAGCACAGCTCCATAAGTTTTTCATTTTTATGGAAAATCCTATGCAAAAACAATATAGCTGCTCCTATTCGGCTTGTGATTGGTCGAATTCCTTATGCGCCTATGCTATGCAATTATGCAGGTTTGTCTGGGATGGCCTATACCGCCAGTTTTTAGTGCCAAAATACCTGGAAAAAAACGGCTTCATTAAAATCTCAAACTAATCATAAAACAAGAGACCAAACATGCCATTTAGAAATCACCTAACCTAATGTTTACAATCCGTCATCTTTTAGTCCAAGACATAAGCAAGAGAGAGATAGACCTATAAAATGGCAACACTGTTCAGTGGCAGTTTCTTCTGGAATTTTCCCAAAATTCAATAGAAGTTTGACTCACAATAAATTACCATAAATATACTGTAACTATGCCAATGTCAAAAGTAAAATGATGTCAAACTTACCGCCGAAATATTGAAATGTGCTTGGAATCAATAGGTCTGTTTCTGCAGAAATCACAAACCAGTCAGAGTGAATTTCATTGGTTGAAACTAGTTTTCTGACTGTTTTCAACCAATGAAATTCGCCACACTTTCCACAGTTTTAAATCCTAGAATACTACTCATTAACACTCAAAATCACAAAATTAGTTCTATCACTTCACAGCAACACTACCAAATCCCTTATGGAAGACATATTATTAAGTCGCATAGGATCATCTTATTGGCTGCTCGTAGATGCAACGTTGCCGATGTGCCGTTTTTCGAGCAATATATTCCTGTGTTATTTTAGAATTTTCACCAATTTAAATTAAAAAAAGACTAACTATCCTATTCCAAAAGGCATTTAAGCTATATTTCAACAAAGATTGACATAAAAAAGCATTTACATTATGTTAAAACATATTATTTTGAAATAATAATCATCTGTGAAGACATTTATTATTGAAAATCACATCAGATTATTGGCAACCAGGCATTTCATGCAAAAATCGACCTTATGGATGTTGGATCGCAAATTATTTGTTTACTGTTTTATCTGTCGTTTTTAGTTGTTAATCTGTGGTTAAAATCACTTTTTCTATATTTAAAATCGATGAAAAAAATAACATCGCAAGCATCCCATCGAGGTCTGCGGGTGACGTCACCACTATAAGATGTGGTGACGTCACGCGCAGGCCCTGCCGACTCAAAAATCGGCGAACAGGGCGACTTGAAGTTTTCTCAATTCAATATGGCGCCGTTAGAATAACACACCTGGAGCGCGTTCAAGGACGACAATGCTAATGCCAAAACCTACTTTCACCCTTCTACCGGCCATGCCAAATCTGGTGTGAATTTGCTGGAACGCCAAATACCGTTTTTCAATTAGGCAATCCAAACCACGTGACATTCAAGATGGCGTGGCGTCCACACATGGACCAAAAAAC